TCCCCCTTTACCATAGTAGCAGTTTTTAATTTATCCCAATCTTATATGTATGGGTAGGAAGCAGAAGAAAAATATTAGTCAAACAATAAATTTTTATTTTCAATTATAAATTTATCGTTCTCATCTCGTTTAAAAGTTATTTTCAATTATAAATTTATCGTCCTCATCTCGTTTAAAAGCCTCAGCAATAATTTCATCTACGACATATGCTATTAGTTCACAATCTATGGTCGAAGATTTGTCATACCAGTTGTGCAGCATTCTAACTGCATCATCTTTTTCGACACCGATCAAATTGCCACGTAAGCAGCTCACAAGTTGATCGAAGCTTTGATCTATTTCGCTTAACATGTCACACAGTTTGCGATATACGTGCTCGACACAATGTTCGAGTTGGAATAAAAATAATACGGTTGATACTTTCATATACATGCAAGTATTGTTAAATGTTAGCTTTACAATTTTTCCGCCGTACATTGTGACGAGTTCTAAGACTAAATCGTTAATATGCATCGAGGATGATGGCGATGACGCATCTGCTGTTTTCAAGAGCTGCTCAATTTCTACGCGTTTCTTGTTCAATTCCGTCCACATTGAATAATCTAACACCATCCGATTTCCGCGATTGTCGCCGAGAATGATGTCCACATAGGATGCACCAGATACCACGCAGATTCCAACATCCAAGTATTTGTATTCAGTGGATGTCAGGGCGAATCTCCTGCTCATGATACGAGGCGTGTAGCAAGGTTTATCGGAACTGAAAGAATACATAAAGTAAAAATAATTACAATCAAATGATGAACAGTATGAACGAATATACGATAATTTCATGGTACTTACGCATCATGTTGTTTCTTGCACGAAACAGTTTTATCTCGAGAAACGGATGGTGTATAACTTTGAGGAATGGATGGCGTATAACTACTTTGAGGAACATACGGCGTGTAACGACGATTGCTAAAACAGTTTGAAAAAAATACAATTAAATGTGGAAAAATGTATGCAATATATGATAGCTCATTGGTACTTACACGTTACACTGTTT